ATCCATCGTATCTCAACCAAATCTCCTTCGCGTACGAGACTGCCATCCGACATGCTGCTTCCGAAGCCGTTCCTATCAAACCCGGCCGACCAGGGGACTGCAGCCCGTTGAAAACGTCATTATTATCTTTGGCGGAAATAGGGTGCCGGAAGCAATTCTAGACTTCCATTTCAATATTTGCTCCAAAATATGCAAACGAGTTGATACCATCGTAAAACAGGATATCTTATTTCAGGGTCAGCAAAGTCCCGGAGCTTTTCTCCATATTTTGTAGAAATTTCCATCTACGCATCAACCTCCCCTCCTTCCAGCGTTGAAATGGATGTGAATATATCGCTTAGATGCACCTTCTTTGCTAACGGAAAGGTCAGATCGTCAAAGCTTAACTCGGGCGGAAAGCTTAGCCCAAAAACTAACGAGTGGGGGTCTCGCTGGCAAGTCTGGGGGACGGACGACTAAGCTAAGCCCTCTGCTGACACGCATCCAAAAAACCTCTGCAAAACTTGCGAGCTCTCTATTGTGAGATGCAAGGTCATTAATATATTCTATACCGCTTCTACGTTAGATTTCGCCTATATACTGTGTCCCGATTACAATGCCCGATACTAGTTGAGTTACAAGCGTTTTGCGAGAATACCTCAACTTCGTTGCAAAATCGTAACGAATATGGAAGCAGAATATACTTCCCTGCTCCCTAGTTCAAAAAGCTAAAATTCCCCGCAATACTCTTCGTGAACTTGTGAACCCCTTGCATGCGGCCAATAACATGGTTGAATATTTGAACACTTTATTAGCCCAAGCTATTCCAAGCTATAACTTGACCACTGGGGTAGTTACAGCGGATATGTCAATATAGGATAGCCTTTTTCAACCAAAATTAACTTAAACAGTGTTATCGTTATGTGCAGTCTTAAATTTTAGTACTCGGATGCGCATTGGATTAATATGAGCAAGTATAGCCACACGAAAACAACTCCCTTATATCACCGCACCATGCTATATATCAATGCCACGCAATTTCGTGCCACCAGTTACCATGATATTTACCACCAGATAGATCGATATTCGTTGAATCCAATTATTATTGAATATACATATCAAAATGGAAGCTAAAACCGAGCCCAAAGTCGAGCCCGAGACGAATCCCAAAAGTGGGTCGGATGGTAGGCATAATAGTGCGATTATAGACCCTATCTTGATGCACTTAGTACCTCCAATTGATAGCACAAAGTTCTCAAGCACGTACCGAGAGTCTCAACATCCGTATCGCAAATACATACTTGAAGAAGATCTTTTCGATACATTGGTGGAACCAAATACCGGCCGCAAGTTCTCAGTTCAATCCCTAGTAGCCGCAGAGGAGGCTGCCCAACAGCAGACCCAGACTGATGGATCTATCAAGCCAGGTGAGCGAACGGTGACATCTGCCGATTTCGAAAAACTACTCTCTGTTGCGAGGAGCTTTGCATTTTTTGCTTCTACAAGACTGGGGCATCATCCTGACGAGGAGACGAGTTTGGTACCTCATCAAATTGTATCACGACATGGAAAAGGCGAAGAAGATGAGGTGATAAGACTTAGAAGTTTTATACGATCTACGAATTTCGAAAAGAACTATACGTTGGAAAATTGCACCAAAGTTTGCAGATTGGCCATTATTCATCTCATTCAGACTCTGGAAGGTAAGCTTAGCATATGCGTATGTTTGAACGAGTGATTGTCGTAGCTGCGAATTAAGCAAAGAAAATATCTATAGGTGCTTTAGAAAGATACGACACTGATCCTGATATTCTTTGGAGCCTTCTTTTACACCAGAGTGTATCCTTTGCCTGGGACTCATACAAGAGCTTAGAAATACTCCAGAACAGCTTAACCACCGAAGAGAAGGCCACATTGGGGAGCAAATGGGGACCCCAAGAGGAAGAGTACTTCGTCTCAACTGCAAAAGAAACGTATCGCAGGCGAGTAGATAAAGAAAGGAAGGTACAAAATAAAAAATATGTTTGAAATTGGCACCTCCTAAGACAATTATTGTCATAAAATTTTTCTAACAGTTTTGTATTCAAATCTCTAGAAGTCAAAATGTACCTGCCCACAGATTACTCTTGGGTGCCGCACATCGTCTCAGAGGTTCAAAGACTGGTTACATCCAAAAGTTTGCGATTATTGTGGATATAAAAGATCTAGGCTACCAAGCCATTGGACTAGAGGCTTAGTCTCTGATCTTCAACTTAGAATCCCTAGCGTTTGGACATAAACCTATTTAGCTAGGCAGAATATACGCACATATTACAAGGTGTGCCTAGATCTACAACACATGTGCACTCATATGCACACTTTATTTCCAATTCATACTCGAATTTAGATAATTTAGTTCTTAGCGTTTCAAGATCCTCCATATATATTAATATATTAATAATGTTTATTTTTTGTGATCTATTCAATTTCGAGGTTTGGAACTACACAGTTTTTTCTTTGCTCTCTCGAAGTCGCAAGCCTCGTCCGGCTCCTCATTCGAGGGACGTTTCTTTGAACCACCGCTTCCTCTGTTCTGTGACTGCGCTGTCCCCCACATGCTTCTGGTAATCCCATTCCAAAGAACGGGGGGACCCCCATTTATCCGTGGATATGCCAATGATTCCACCTTCAAAACAGGATCCATCTCTCCCAGGCCCATAAAAGTTGCGAGTAACCCTGCTACCAATGGGGCAGCTTCGCGAATGGATTAACTTTAGGAATCTTAGACCAAATTTTGCTGTACACGTACCGTAAGATGTTCCACTAACTGCACCGACATTTCCCTCTGATCCCCGATACTGACTAGAGCCTATAGGAACCGATACTTCATCTGCCGGTGCAAAAATCTTTACCTCTGGGTTTAGTTGATAGAGATTCTCTCCAGTTCTTGTGTCGATTCCACCAACCAACATTGTGTTCGTGAGTCGTTTGCCCCCTCGCCTCCCGGATAAGTTTTCTGATATTAGAATTTGAGGGTAATGTGCTATCTTGGTAGACTATTAAGTAATTCCTCCGGGATGGACGAGAACCAACGAGAATAGAGTGTTAGCTGAAGAGTATCCAGAACTAGTTCGTCGATAGTTACTAGGGAAATAGATACTATGCCTCCATCCGCGATTTTAAGTTAAAAGGTACATACCGGACTTTCATTCCCAGTAGGTATCAGGAAATATGCTCCCTTTTCTCCAAGCTTTTGCAATATCTCTATGTATAAATCCTCATAAGCCTGGAGAAAAAAGCGGTTATGGGGGAAATTAACTTCAAAACCATAAGCATAAACGATAACTGCTCCCTTGATGTCCGAATATTTATTTCTTGACCTCAATAAATGATCGTATATTTTTAGAAGAAAGTCAATATCGTTGAAAATTGTGAATAAAAATCGACCATCCTGCTTTTTCACTGCGACCAAGTCCGCCCAAGGTGCGACTCCGAATTTATTCCCAAGTAATTTTCCAGCGACAGAGGTTCCATGAGAAAAGATTGGATTTTCCTCATCATCCGGATTATATTCGCCAACTGGTAAATCGTCGTCGCTCTTCTCGTCATTAGGCATAGGACCCGTAGATATCCATTGATCTGTGGTGCCTGCATACCGCCCCCGCCATTGTCGCTCAAAAGCCTAAATTTCAATTTAAGTTTTATATCACAAATATATGGTATAACGTGGGTTTTTCAGCTGAACTGAAGAAAAGATGAGCTTACCCAATGTCGAAAGTCAACTCCATGGTCCGCAACATAAGCTATCACCCCGTTTCCAGCTTTCTCATAATTATACCAACTATTTTTCAGATCGTCTATTGTTGGAACATCTTTCGGTTTGGTTGCAACTAGCAAATCCTCGTATTTAGTATTAAACCTTTGGATTTTGGGGTTCAGCCTTTTCCCCAGCCTGGTCTGTCGCTTATAGGAGCGCCGCCTTTTCCAATTAGGTGCAAAACCGTAAAGTTCTTCGAAGTAGTCATGGTCATCGATGTCATGGATTATAGAATCGTCTCCTGGGACTTTTCTCTCCTCATGATCAAAGGCTCCATTAATCTCGTAAAGCAAAACAACTCTTTCATATGATTTTACCTAAGCAGCTGTCAGCAATTTCGAATGTCCAACAACGTAAGTGGAAGCCAAAGGATGGTCTTAGATACGTCGGGTCTGCATAAACGTCGATCAAAGGAGCCTGTCTTACTAAAAATGGAACTATAAAGGCGAGATAAATCATCGGGGCCTCATCGGAGCCTATCGAATCGACCAAGAATGCCCATGTGCCCAAATGCTCGCTTTTAACTTCGTATACCCGAAGGCTTCGTGGTGGAGCGACCGTTTCAGTCTTCAAGGCCTCTTGACGAAACTGACTGAGTAAAGCTTTATTAAATCTATGCGCAGGATTAAGAATATATGCCCACCGCTCGAAATTCTGTTCTGGAGTTCCAATTTGAAGCGTATATATGGAAGAAGGGGAATTCGACAATACTACATCTACCAGAAGGAAGAAAAAGGTCAGCTGGAGTATATGCAACCAGATTTTCGACCTTTTATCGAAAGAGATTATGGAGAATTCCTGCATTTGGACAATACAACTTGATATTTATATAAATTTGAAGAGTTACTCGAAAAATTTCAAACCCCGCAGAACAGGAGGAGATAACTAATCTTTCGACGTTTTATCAGATAGCGCAATGCATGATATTCTAGATAAATAAATAAAACAGACGGCTAACCCTAGCCCGAACTAAGCACTGGATATCTGGCACGTTGGTTATAGCCTCCCATCCAACGATTTTGCAATTTTGTACATGGAATTTTTGCAAGCCAAGGCTGCCATTTGTACCAAGACTAAATTTGTACCTCCAACTCAAACTTTCATAGTCGCTACGAATCAACCTAAGAATATAGATAGAAAAAATGAAGTACTTTATCGGCTATGAGATGAGACATTATAAACGATGTCTAAAATCGCTTTATTTTCATTCTGATAGTTGAAACTAGAGCTCGTGGTGTAATCGGTAACACACAGCTTCGCAATGTAAAGGTGTGGCAACACTCCTTCATAGTCGGAAGGAGTTCTTGGTTCGAATCCAAGCCTGCTCATGGTTATACAGCTTTTAAAATTGAAGTTATTTTTAATTTTTACCCCTCTTTTTAATCTAGATTCATACTAACGGGGAAACGCGCTGGGAGCATGTTGCATGTTGGAAGTTGCGTTTTGGGACACCGCGCGTTGATAAAGTAGGGAGCAGATAAACGAGTGCAGGCAGTTTGAGCAAATGCACAAGTCGCTTCGGCGCTCAGTGTCACCGCCTGTTGTTCAACAGGGCCAACTTAATTAACAGATAATAATCTTCAAATACTCAGAATCAAACTGAATGGATAAATATTTGAGAATATAGAAGAATTAAATAACCACACCGGAGATCTCCTAAGCTAGTTCCCAGGCTAGGTAGGCCAAACCGTCGCCCAACGTCTAGCGCCGCCGTAGGTTATTCAGAACTGCTCGTCAAACAATGCAGTATACAAGCATTGCGCATGTCCGTGCACGCGTTCATGAAAACTATCCTGAGATAATCCAGATCATGATTGGATCTAGATCTTGAGATTGATTCTCTGATCTCGTTTGCCTCTGCGCCACGCTTCCCGACCATTGATTCTCAAGAAATATATTCTTTGGGAGTGCTACCAGCAAATCCATATCAAGCAAGCACTCGTATTTAACGTTATGGACCCATCTCAGTCGGATAGATACCCCATCTTCCCCTCCTTCTCTAGTTTGCCAACCGGCCATGGTGTATTCGGTGCACGCTCCCTAAGTATGATTGGGAGATGACGGTTCGATTCCGCCCATGACCATGTACACATCTCACAGACCTCGTCGTCTAACTGGTAAAGACAGCCTTCTTTTAAGAGCTTATCACGGTTCGAATCCGCGCTTGGTCAAGTTAATATATTTTTTAGTATTTTCTCCTCAAGGGAAAGATATAGTTTGAATTTGGGAAATGTCTTCTTGCCAACAAGATATTTGGTTAGTCACACAGAATCCTAAGAAACGAATCACTACATGAAATATAAAAAACCGGGTATCGAACGTGACCATACATTAGCATCAAGACATGAAAAAACACCCATCCCAACGCCGCCGCACCAAGTAAATCCAAATAAAAGGTGAAAAAATATGCCAATCGAACCAATATCGAATAATAAATCCAAATCCATTACATCTTTTCAATATTATTTCTTCATACTTTTGTCGCTCCTAGCAGAAACAAATGGCATTGCACTACAACTCCTCTGCTTCCCCGCCGAGGAAATCCTCCTCCGTCATCCACGCTCTCCTAATCCCATCATCATGTCTGATAGGACTTTCTTCTTCCTCTTCTTCCTCCTCATCATCGTCATCATCGTGTCGAAGATAAGTAGCGTGCAGTACCTTCGCGACAATCTCCACCATTGGCGGGTCACGTAGAGGGTAAAACACTGTCTCTTTGATATCCAGCGAGCCGTGCGGATACCTTGACCGTGATCCAAAGAATAAATTATCGTAACTTTCGAAACCAAGATATTTAGGCATGTTTGCCCCGGAAGCGTAATCTAACGACTCCACTGCTACCATTCCTTCAAACACAATCCGTAAATCCCAGGAACCACGTTTCTCGGATTGGATTGAGGAAGAAGAGAACAACGCTGGGGCGCCGCCGGTGAGAACTTCGCTTGCCTGACGAGCGGTACCGAGTAAATCGGTGAGAGATTCGCGGTTCCAGACAAGGCCCCACGCCGGCGTTTTGAGAAGGTATTCGGCATGAACCTCTTGTTGGGCTGCATCTGAGGGACCTGCGAGATGGAAGGTGCTCTCTTGAGAGTAGTCACGGCAACCCCTTGCTATAGATTTGTGTACACGAGGCACGACTATTGTCCATTTTCGACGGAGAGTTTTGTCGTAGTCTGGGAGGCGTAACTTGTTAGTTGATTCGGGCGCGGTCTCGGACGTCGCCATGAGCTTGCCAAGATATACTGGGGCAGTAGAGTCGGTCAAAAAAGCGCGAAATATTTCAGGGCAGCACACGCTATAGACGAAAGCATCGGTGAGATTCGGAAACATGGCGAGAAGAGGACATGCATGAGGCTGAATCGGAGCTCGAGATGACATTGACAACTGAGGTATCGCCGGCGCATATTTAAGTGTTCGGAGCGTGTGAGCGGAGAATGATTTCTGTAGCAGCACCAATGAAGCTGAAAGGAAAATATTAGTCCGGTTCTCCGGGAAATAAAAGGCATTAACTCAAATCTTACCTCCAAGAGATATTTCCGCTGCCCAGCACCCATCGGCCAGCAAGAACCTCTCAATGCCTTCAATGCCCCTATTCTTTGCCGTCCTATCTACGCCAGCCGAACTCTGCCCAAAGACAAACTTCCGTATGAAGGCTTCATTCAACCATCGGCGTTCGTGTCCCTTTCCAACAAATCCTCCAGTAAAGTGACTTGATCTCATCCATCCTCGTCCTCTAACTTCAATCTCTTTAACTTGCGTTTCCGGCATAGTCCATTGTGCTTTGTCTAAATCCAAGCGATTAAACTCATCATTCATCTTTTCTATCAGAAGATCTACTTCAAGTCCCAATGCTCTCGACGTAACATCAAGTGCATCCCACCAAACCTGCCGAGAAACAGATGGATGTTCAAGTTCCGAAAGTTGGGTGGCAAGTCGAGAGAATTGTTGTTCGTTACAATAAAGCCAATCTCTAAATTCAACGGTCTGACAAGATTGCAGTGCAGTTCGCAAGGCGGCCCACTTTGGCACAGGTAAAACGGCAAGAGTGTTGACAGGTACTTGTATCCGAGAGCTCCCCGCAGCAGCTGTGATGATGTTCAAAATCAGCTCCGCATCAGACTTTATGATGGCGATGGTTTGTTCGATGATGAATTCATGGACCCTCCTCGATAAGGCGAATCGTTGTTGTATCCTATTCGATTGTATCCTCCCCATAGATGGCCTCTGATACGGGTTCATAATCCAAGCTGTTTCGTCAATACCCCAATATTCGCGCTCCGGGTTGTCGTAGTACTTTAAGAATCTCTCCTTCCCGAGCTCGGGGTCATTGATCAGTCGTTCAAACACATCGGTATCCTCCCTCCATGCATACGTGAAATCCCAAAATATGATACCACCGCCATTGCGCAGCAATGAGCCACCCCATACGACCGCAAAAGTGGACAGCATTTCATGAACACGCTCCAAGTTCTTAATATGTAGAGGTGAGCCGAGGTGTAATGTTACCCCGCCAGATCTCAAATATGGAAACGCGGTGAGAAAGTCCTTATGTATGATGGACCAATCGATATCCTTCTGATGGTCGGACATGAATGATTCTTTAGAATCTGCAGCTTCGGGAAGAAGATAATAGGACAAGAAAGATGATATTCCCTTCTTCTGCTGCCCGGGTTTATCCTTCCGCCTGCGATGGTAACTTCCCCCTTCAGACTGCTCTTCTGTGAAAAGTGCCTCATCGTCGGAAGGAACGTTGCTGTGTCCCTCTCTCGGTCGCTGTTCTCGCATCGGACTCGGGCGTCGCTGCCGTCGCGTCTGGTCTTCTTCATCCTCATGTAGTTTACTATATGCCTCTAATCGTCTCCTCAGATCGTCGATATCGCTAAAATCCACCACAACTCCGCTGCGATTGGGCGAAAAGTACTCCCTACTAGCCCAGGAATGCCAGCGAGAACACGTCTCTCGAACGTTTCTAGTATCGGCGAGCTTCCATCTCAAATACCGCTTCTTCAACTCAGCAACTTTAACACCAGGATAGAAACAGCGACATAGCGTGTCGCTCGCAGTACTAGATGCGACGACTTCGTCCAATATCTGTCCTAGTATTTCGGCGGGGAGAGCATCGAACAGCTTTGGCGAGTTCTCAGTCGGCCGGGAGATGAATCGACCTTCATCGTCAAAATCCTCCTCGTCAGAATCGTCGGAGCCAAACAAATATTTCGTGAAGTACTTTGTTATTTTGAAGCGTGGTGGGCCTGCAGGACCGGACGCGGAGCGCTGGGGGTAAGGAGGGCAGTAGCATTGCGGTCGCTTTGCGGGGACCTCGCCGGGGAGTTGGGGGTTGGGCTGTTCCCGTCGGATTCGATCTTCGTTGGTGTACCGCATCCTGCCAAAAGCGAGATCCGGGTCGTCTCTTGAGGTTGAGGCGGCGGTTCTGTTGTCGGTTGTCGCAAGGCCGAGTTGAGTCGCGAGCGAGGACCAGAATGATTTCATGTAAGAGAAATTGGATTGATTACCCGCAGTTGGTTGGGCGAACCACCACAATTCTGAGTGGATGGAGTGGAGGTGTGATTAGCGTGGCAGTGTGTTCGTTATCGATGGCTGGGGCGGGTTACAGAGTTTGACCTGCTATTATCGTTTCAAACGAGATCTCGTTTGATCAAAAAGTAAAACAAAAGAAATAATGGCGACCGGATCCGATTGAAGGAGAGGAGGGTGTTGTTAAAAGGAGAGTAATAGTAGTAATAACAACAAGTTAATAGTTCGTGGGATGAGAAAGAGGAGGTGAACGAAAAGGTTAAAGGGTGATGGTGGTAATACGGTCGAACCAGTCGCACAGGCGACAAGAGAATCCCCAGAAAGTTGTGCCACCGACCGACTGGGGGACAATAATAATAATAAAAATAATCAAAGAGATGTCTCCTTGCAATCTCTCCTCCTCGTGAGATGCATTTCCTCCGTCCTTGCTTGCATGCCTGTGCCAGTCCGTCAAACCGTCGCCTGGAATTTTTAATATGAATTGCCTGGTCGGTCTACCCGCGCAGAATCGCTAATTGCCAGCCCAAAGCGTCGCTGCTGTCAAAACAAACCCACCCTCCCAGCCATTTTGCCAGTTAGTTAGCGCGGAACCTTATGCGGGGGTAGGCAAGTTGCAGTCGCAGTGCGAAGAAGCTCGCAGCGGTGGGCCCGCGCCCTGGCAGGACGATACATGCCTCTGATATGTATGCGTGCTTCGTGATTTGCATGCAACAAAGACGTAATCTCGATCTCCTGATTAACCGAGCGAATGAGCAACAACATCTCTGTCGCGAACAGACAGACTGAGGGGACGCCTCTTTGCCTCTTTCTTCCTTCCGACGCGCACAGGAATAAATGAGATGAAAATAAACCAATTTGATATCTCCACTTCTGCGATTTTGGTTTTCACAAGCCAGCAGGCCGAATGTGTTGACATGTCGTTCGCGTGTGTTGATGTCACACAGATTGTCGTGGCGAGTCGCGGTCAATCACTCGTTCGAAAAGGGGTAACTATCACCATCGACGGCAGCCACGTTGGATCAAAGTTCAAGAGATAGTAGCACATGCGCACAATTAGTAGCATATTATATAAAATATAAAATAAAACCCAAAACGCCTTATCTGTCATGTCGCTAAATATAAACTCCCATCTACTAATAAACTCCCGTTTAATAAAATTTATGCTGAAGGAAAATAAACAAAGAAAGATTAAACTGGTGGCTTAACATGTCCCCTCGCCAACGGAACAAGAGCCATCGTCGCAATTGTCACTACCGCACAAATAGCGAACGGCAGCCCCATCCCCAGCCCTGTCACGTTCGCCTTCGAATACGTGAACGAGTAAACTTTAATCCACAACGGCCCATTTAAGATCCCTGACATAATCTCAACGATCACAAACGCCATGTGAACTAGCATGATGTGCGATTCGTCCCCGATCCCGATAACATGGGATCTCAGTCCGTCAAAGAATGCACGCGCAGGAGAGTTCACCACCAGGGACATTGCAAAGGAGAATTCACTGGACGTGAACGTTAAAATCCACGAGGAACCTAACTGGCAGAGGAGCGCTAGCATAGCGACCAGCAGGTCTGGCGGAAGGTGGATAATCCGATACAATACCTTACTCAACTTGACGATTTGATTGCGCATGAGA